ATGTTTCATCTCCAGTTTCCAAGTAAAGAGACGCAGGATTCCAACAGACTCCTGGTGAAGCTGTAGACAAGCTCTCTGGCATTCAGCTTAAAAGAAGGGGATAAAGTCACTTCAGCTTTCAGCACCATGATTAACACCAACCAGCTTGTGTCTTCTTAAGTGCTGCAGAGACTTAAGTACTTAATCCTAAACATCTTCTCTTGCCTACAAAGTTAAATATTGCCCCAGCTCCAGTTCTATTCTGGCTTTCTGGCTATTCAAATCACAAGAGCATGATCACTGGCATTTATCGGTGATGTTTGCTCAGTGTTACAGCTGTAACTGACCCAGAAAGCCACAGGTTCAGCTCACATGAACAACTCAGAACAGCTTTAGGTTAGCGATCACTTACGGAGCTTTCGCCAAAGTGAATTTAATATGGAAAAAATATTCATAGAAAGGATACAAAAGGAAAAAAGCATGGCACACTGGAACAATATATAGTGGCAACCATGCTTTCCCTGAACAGTGATTTCCAAACAGGGACTCTACTAACTCATTGCAGTAACAGATGCAGAGAAGACAGAGATGATACAGTCTTGACCTCCTCACAGACTGGTATCTGCTGCTCATTTGCCTTTGGAACTTGAAGGCAGAATATATCCTCAAATTTACTTCTCCTAGGGTCCCTCCTGGCCTCCAGGAACACCCCTATTTCTCTCTCTATGTGTCCTGTTCCCCCTTTCTTCAAAAATTGACCCACCTCTCTATCTTGGCAGTGTTTTACACAACACTTGCTCTCCTTTGGGGCAAAAGCTTCCCTTCATCCAACCCCATGGATCCCAGGATACAGGCAAAGCTGAGAAGCACTGCAAAGCTCAGAAAAAGTAAACCACCTTAAGGACATGATAAAAGGCTTGAAAAAAAGCATGCTTAACAAGGCATCACTTCTCCAAGTGCATTACTGCTGTTAAGAATTGTTCACAGAGAGGTGGCCCAGGAGCTATGCTTTCTGCTGAAATGTGGTATTAGTTCAGAACTTGTTCCAGATCTCAATCCTTTTTCTCAGTGAGCATGTGTCCAGTATATTTCTCAGAACCTATTACTTCAACTTCATGCATGGAACAAAACAAATCTAGGGTTTTTAACATCAGATGGCTACTCTGTTTTGATTAAGCAATTTTCATGCTAAGTATAATATATAAATAATAATATGAACCAAGAAAATAACCATGTTAAGAGTCCATGCTCGTCCTCTTAAGGATTTGATTATAGCCGCATCTTTACCGGTACAAGACCCTATCCTTTCATAACCATTCCCTCAGCTTCTTTGCTTAACGCTCTTAAAAAAAAAGTAATCTATGCCTGGTATTCTGTAGACTTCACATTTTACCTCTGCCAAGTCCCAGATATTCCCCAAATATGATGGCCTGCCCTAGCATGGCATGCAAAAAAAGAAACATAAAAGCTCAGAACAAGATCCAGTGGAAACACTGCTCAAAAGGCCACAGACTCTGTCACTAACTTGCACGTAATCCTAACACAGATGAAGGACAGCAATGTTTGGTCAAATTTGTCTTCGAAATCAAACCTGGGTTTCCATATTCAACCTGAAGCTGACGTTCAGTTTAAGACAGCCACTCGGGAATTCAGCAGGACCACAGTTAACAAACACACGTGACTATAAAAAGACTTGTAATGAAACAGAAAAGCCTGATTGATTTTTTTCTCTCTCTACAGTAAAGAGCTTTGTTAAGCACAGGCAGAACATAACTGATCAATGAAATTATAACCAGTGTGGTGGGACTTGGATTAAGAGGCAGTTCTATTGTGTTTAAAAAGTCAATGTATAGTGATGCATCAATATGCTCACAGTATCTAAGTACCACTGGCTCAAAGGACAGCATTCCACTTTGTCTAGACCAAAGATACTTGTCTAGAATGGCTCTAATAGTAGAAAGCAGAAAAGTATTTAATTTGGTATCTGGTCTCCCACACGGACAGCAGCAGAAATCACCAGAAAATTAAAGTGGAAATGGATCTCCAGAGGTCAGCTAGTCCAAACTACCTCCAGGTTAATGAGGTGCCTAGGAAAGAGTGTTAGGGTCAAGTACATGATAATTTCACTCAGTCTCCATCATTTTGAAGCTCAAGGGCTCCCCACAACTGAAGCAGTATTTGCAATTTGCCCTTAATTCTGCATGCACAGCTGGCCAGTATTAGGGATTGAATCTGAAAAACTAACAAATACCATATCTGCCTCCTAAGCAGGAAATACTCTTGGCAAGGCTTGCACTTTCTAACTAATATCCAGCCTACACTCCAGCCCATAACTACACATCTTCTGTTAGCTAACTGAGCTCCAAGTGATAACTATGCCTTCAGCTCCATTTCTGCAGTTCAGCTGCCTCAGTGGTTAAAGAGCTTCAAATCAGGGTGTCACACCCTCAGAGAGTTAAGACATTTCAACTTGTTCTCATACGCACCATTTGCCAAACTGACTCTAGAAATTTTTGTGCAGATCACTGAAGAGGCAACTTTGCTGTGCATGGGTTATCACTAACGCATCCTTCCTCCTCCTGCCTCCATCCACACTGCACACTCCCATTCCCCACTCCAGTAACGATGAACCAGCTTAGCAGAGTTTGTAGACATTATCCAAGATAAGGGAAGGGCAGATGGTCTGATACCTGACAGTGACAGTGTGTTGTTACAGACAGGGCACAGCAGGCAGTCATGATAACAGACACACTTTGCAATTATATACACTAGAAAATTTTGTTAAGGATGATAACCTGGACAAAAACACAGCGTGTGCTTGCCTCAGTTCAACCTATCTATATGTATTGGATCATGCCTTTATTTATGGAATCAGCATATGCTGTCATGTCAACTTGAGAGCTACAGGCAGTGCATGGCAGAGACCAACGTTCTGTAACATAGTCAGCTTCGGTAACGAGACAACAGGAGTTTCACTCAGGTTGCTACTCTACTCCATAAGGGAGTTTGCTATTTGGCAAATTAAATCTACCTATCTTTACACATTTTCTGCTTCTAAAAGGAAACATGACTCTCCTAGAAGCTTTTTACTCAAAGAGCACCTGCACTTGCAAAGAGGTATCTTTAACAGCTGCAGAGCTGGGCACAGGAACAACCCCAGACAGGGCTGTTGGCACTATAGAGCTGTAGCATTTTTCATAACTACACCTACCTTTTTGTGCTCCTGAAGTTAACTTGGTACCCAGGTGTGGTTGGAGGCCTGTGAGGTGCTGGGATAGCTGGGAGTAGACAGAGTGGGTTCAAAATTAAAGTCCAGTCCTTCTCCATCCATGAGTTCACTGTTGATTATGTAATCCATATCACATTCAAGGTTCTCCATATACATGTCAATGTCCAGGTCAGTGGGCAGCCTGTCCTGATTCAATCCCAAGGGGGCAGGGCTAGCAGAAGAAAGAAGCAGTGGACTGGGCAGCTGGACCGAGTGGCCAGTCGTTGCAGAAACTGGAGCCTTCAAAACGGTGATGCTGGCAGTGTTCTGAGGAGATGTTACTATGGGAAGAGTTGATGGCAAAACACTGGCACCAACTGGTTCTGCTTGCTGCTCTGCAGGCTTTCCTTGTGGACTGCCTGAGCTCATCTTGCTCTGTGTTGCTTGTCCACCTAGAAGAAGAAGAGTTCGGCTGCTCATCCTGCTACCAGTCTGTGGGAGAACTGGATCCACCTGAGTCATCAGAACATCCCTTGGAGGTGGAGAGCTGGGCGTCAGAAGAGCTTCCAAGGTATGAGAGGCAGAGAAATGGCTGACAGAACTTTGAATTGAGATGTCAAGAGGGTTGAACAGTGAATTGCTAAAAGTAGTGGTCTGACCAGCTGCATTCGGGCTCTGCAAGGAAAAGTTGGAATCTCTCTGGATCTGACTGCTTGAGGCAGATTGCTGGGTAGGTAACACAGACGAGCTGGAAGACATCAAATTCAACCCATCGATGAGCTCAAGCTCCTCAGTCACAGTTGGTGGAACGTTGCTGGATGCACTGGAGTACACTAGGGAGGGAAGGAGCTCTTCATTGTGAATGTCATCCTGCTCCGTCAGAATAGGAGAAAGCCTCCCACTAATGGTGCTTGCATTAGAACTGGTTCGAGGTCGGAAGGTGTTCCACACATCAGAGTCCTCATTGCTCCTTGAGGATGGGCTCCCAGGCCACTTAGGGAATTGGGAGCTAGGACTGTCAGCAGTGGACTCTGGAGCAGACTGGAGAGGAGGCTTCTTTTTGGATGCTTTACCTCTGACTTTTGAGAGTTTGCTGCTGTTGTCCATGGAGGCAGCTCTTCTTCTTGGTGCTTTTCCACTTTTACCACCCTCAGGATTGAGCATCCACCAAGAGCTCTTCCCTGTGGCTTCATTATGGACTTTAATAAACTTGCTGTGCAGGGACAGGTTATGTCTAATGGAGTTCTGAAAAAGATAAATATAAGTTATGAGGACCTGACAGTTGACACACCTCCCTCCTGGAAACCTCACAAGCATAAACACAGTCGGGCAATATCCAGATAAGAAAGTTATAACAAAGGCCTACCCACAAAAACCTGCTACTTCTGCTTAAATGTGCTAACCAGCATTAGCAACAGTGCCATGTCTTGCTGCAGTACCAAGGATGAAACTACCATGACAGCTGGCAGCTTCCAACTAGCAAAATATTAACACAAAATAACTTTTTAAGACTGCAAAAACTAACCACAAAGCATGTAAGCAAATTCCCAAATGCAGCCTGCAACTTCAACGTGAGTCTAACTGAATTTGAACCAATGCTGCTCCCACCCTTCTGCCAGCTCCATTAGCCAGTATAAACCTGGCTGAAGTTTTTATTTTTATATGGCTACCTTTCAGATGGGTTTGAGCACAGCATAGCAATGAATCAAAAAGAATGGGTGAACAGAAATGACAAAACACTATTAATTCAGCATGCCTATTGTTATCTTCATCCCCAAACAAGAAAAACATGATAAAAACTTTGCAGAACAAGAGTCCTATTAATCCTGGAGCCTGCTAGCCTCACTCTGCAAGGATGCAGTACGTTTTCCTCTGTGTGAGTTTCTAATGGGGCAAGATGTTCAGCAAATAGTGAGCTCCCACAGAGTAAGTGCCAGTTTTAGCCTCTCCCATCACTCCCTTGAGCAAGGCACACATTCCTTGCTTCTCCAACTCTCTTATTTTGGTTTAGCTTTGCTGGAAGCTGCAAGCTAACACATCTGTACACCATCAAACTGAATTTTCATCCTGCAACTAATGAAACTTCCCAGTATTTTAGAATGAGCAAACAAACTCATTGTTTGAGCAGATGAACTCTCCTTGAGGACTGTGTCATGTATTTGTTTAATATTTGCATTTAGTTTGTTCAGATGGTTAAATTGCACATCATTAAAAGGTGTTACTCTGGTAGGATAACAGCAGTCCAAAACCAACACATTTTTCATGTAAATTAAAAGGTAGATAGCAGCCCTCAGCTTTCATGCACGCCACCTTAATTCTGAATAAAGTTAACTGTGCCTTTATCATCCTTTCCCACTACCTCTGAACATTTTTTTCCTGCCTACTGCATCTGCTCTCGGACAAGTCTCTACCATGCTAAACTTGGCCATCTCTCCCCCTGGCTTTACCAGGGGCAAGTCCTGCCTGACCAATCTGGTGGCTTTCTATAACGAAGCAACTGCATTGGTGGACAAGGGAAGAGCTGTGGACATCATCTATCTTGTCTTTGCTAAGGCCTTTGACACCGTCCCCCATCGCATCCTCCTCTCTAAGCTGGAGAGATACGGGTTCGATGGGTGGACTGTTCAGTGGATAAGAAACTGGCTGGATGGTCACACCCAGAGCAGTGGTCAATGGCTCGACCTCTAGCTGGGCACAAGTGACAAGTGGTGTCCCTCAGGGGTCCGTACTGGGACCGGTGTTGTTTAACATCTTCATCAGTGGCACAGGCAGTGGCATGGAGTCACCCTCAGCAAGTGTGCTGACGAGACTGAGCTGGGAGGTGCAGCTGATGTGCCAGAGGGACAGGAGGCCATCCAGAGGGACCTGGACAGGCTGGAGAGGTGGGATCAGGTTCAACAAGACTAAGTTCAGGGTGCCGTACCTGGGCCAGGGCAACCAGCATTA